TCAGAAGGGGGAACCTTTGCTATCCAGTTAAGTGATGATCAACCTCCATTCCACTAAGATTTTGTTTGAGCTATCAGAATAATTTTTTAAAATTATTTATTTATTATGTATACAATGTTCTGTCTGCATGTATGCCTGCACACCAGAAGAGGGCACCAGGTCTCATAGATGGTTGTGAGCCACCATGTTGTTGCTGGGAATTGAACTCAGGACCTCTGGAAGAGCAGCCAGTACTCTTTACCTCTGAGGCATCTGTCCAGCCCCTATGAGAATAATTTAAGGAAGAACATTTTAGTGTGAATTATTTATACAGGCTGTTAACATTATCAAGTCTTCTGGGACTGTGACCTTCATTTACTTAAAGCACTGGTACAAATTGGTTTAGTAGTGCAGGATGTTTTATGTTTGTGAAATGATTTGATTTCAAACTGTTTCATATGCTACTGAAAACTATGTCCAGACAAATGTATACACCTTAGCCTGTCACAAGAGGGCACTCTTACCCCATTCTTTAAAGTGAATGTTGCTCTGGGTAGTGAATGGGAAAAAAAATGAAAAGGAAAGGAAAGGACTCTCCTAGGTGTGCTGGAGGAGAAAGTTTGTTGTAGATGAAAGGGAGAGTGCAGGTAGAGGCAGGGACAGAGACATCTGGGAGAGTCCAGAGTGGACATGACGAGACTGAGCTGGGCCATGCTGTGTGTGTGTGTGTGTGTGTGTGTGTGTGTGTGTGTGTGTTGTGGGGAGGTTAGAAGGAAAAGAGAAACCAGGTCACAGCAGTCAGGAAGCCAAAGGTACAAAAAAGGGTAGGTAACCAAAATGTCTGGATTACACAGGGAAGATCCTCTGGGGGGATGGGCAGCCCAGTCCCTGGACTGGAGGGTAGGGGGTGGAGTATGCCAGTAATACCCTGTGAGAAGTAGGGACCCGAGGGATGCTGGGAGAACCTGGTGGCCAGGTCTGCTTTGATATGTTAAGTAGGCACCTGAGCCATTTATTTGTCCAGGGTTTGAAACTTGGCAGGAATGATGAATCCAAAGAAATGATCAAAGAAACACAGTTTGGACCCACAGAATGAATTTGGAGTTCAGTGGACGGCTATTATCTGACAGCACCGGGAGTTCTGCTCATGCAAATTTATTAATTTCATAAAAGAATATCTATTTATCCCCATCTCAGGACCCAGTGGGAAAAAAAAAGAATATCTATTTATTTAAACTCTTGGATACAGGGTTTCACTGTGTAGCCCTGTGTAGTCCTGGAACTTACTTTGTAGACCAGGCTGCCTGCCACGGCCTGCTAGAGAAAGATTTTTTGTTTTTTGTTTTTCCGAGACAGGGTTTCTTTGTGTATCTCTGGATGTCCTGGAACTCGCTCTGTAGACCAGGTTGGCCTCAAATTCACAGAGATCCACCTGCCTCTGCCTCCCTGAGTGCTGGGATTAAAGGCTTGAGCCACCACTTCCTGGCTATGAAAGGATTTTTGTTTTGTTTTTGTTTTTCGAGACTGGGTTTCTCTGTAGCGTTGGAGCCTGTCCTGGAACTAGCTCTTGTAAACCAGGCTGGCCCCGAACTCACAGAGATTCACCTGTCTCTGCCCCTGAGTACTGGGATTAAAGGCATGTGCCACCACCGCCTGGCTATAAAACGATTTAAAAAATTATTTTTTAGATTTGTTTATTTATTTATTTATTTATTTATTTATTTATTTATTTATTATGTATACAACATTCCTTCCATGTATGCCAGCAGGCCAGAAGAGGGCACCAGATCTCATTATAGATGGTTGTGAGCCACCATGTGGTTGCTGATAATTGAACTCAGGACCTCTGGAGGAGCAGTCAGTGCTCCTAACCTCTGAGCCATCTTTCCCGCCCTATAAAAGGATTTTTAAAGATTATACAAAATACAAATTCTTGCTGGGAGGTGGACAATTCTTTGGACAAGAGAATTTACTTGTTTTACATAGTGTATACACTTAAAATAATGTTTTTGTTTTTTTTTTGTGTGTGGTGTGTGTATATTTGTGGGTGTATGTGTTCACATGTAGTGCCCATGCTCACACATATTTGTGTGGAGGCCAGATATTGACATCAGGTGTCTTCCTTGATTGCTCTCTGTTAGGTCAGAAGCGGCCCCTAAAAGACGGCAGTGCTGGTGACAATATCCTAAACAGAAAGACTTTGGACAGGTAAACAGAAGATTGTTGTTGGATAAACAGACCTAAAGAACCAGTTTCTCTTTACCTAGGAACTTCCCTTAATCCTGTCCTCAAAGATCTACTACCTTTACCAACAATAACTACTTCCCAGTCAGTCCAAACAGCCAGCCTTAGCTCAAAAATCTCCCTCTGCTGACTGTCATATTAAATCCACTTGCTTTTCCTCCATTTTTCTCTTCAGTAGCTGTGGCAGTTTGATCCCCAGTCAACTTTTTCTTTTCTACCCGTGGAGTGGTTCAGTTCAGTGGTTTCCCTGCACCTCGCTTACACTCTCTACTTTCTTTGAGGCAGGGTCTCTTGCTGAACCTGGCCCATTGTGGATCCCCAGTCTCAATCTCTTGAGTGTTGGGATTAAGGGTGGCTATTGTGAGTCAACTGGTAGTGGCCCTTGCCTTTAATCCCAGCACCCAGGAGGCAGATGCAGGCAGATCTTTGAGTTTGAGGCCAACAGGTCTACACAGAGAGAGTTTCTGGGCAGCCAGGGCTGTACAGAGAATGTCTCCAAAACAACAAACAAATCCCTCCAAACAAAACAAAATGAAACAAAAAACAGTGGTCATCTACTTGTTTTTATGTAGGTTCTGGGGATCCACACTCTTGTATGGCAAGGACCCATGAACCTTTCTTTCCTCAAGACCCAGATGGTGACTTTAATAGCTGTTGATGTTCTATATCAACAGCTTTTGTCATTGTTGTTTTTGAGACAGAGACAGGATTTTACTACTAGCAAGATCACGAGATCATGCTGACCTTGAACTCACGGAAATCCATCTGCCTCTGCCTTCCAACTACTGGGATTAAAGGCTTGAACCACTATGCCTGGCAGTGTATTATCTATTATTGTTGCTTAACAAATTTCTAAAGTTTAGTGGTGTAAAATCTCAGTAATTTATTTTAATTTCTGGGATCCAGAAACTGAACTTTTTAAGGTGCTTTTGGCTCTAAGTCAAGTTCTTATCCAGGGTTCAGTCATCGCAAACCCCCTTTGAGTTGTATAACTGGCTTCTAAGATCAATCACTCACAGGGACCGCTCTACTGCACAGCCCGGCAAGTGGCATTTGGCTTCCTTCAGACCAAACGGTGTAAGAGGAAGAAAAAAAATGTGCAAATGGAGGCTACAATTTCTTTATAAGATAATCCTCAGGATGATACTTGATTACTTTGTTAAGAATATGTTATTAAGGGCCTGAATCCCAACTCTCGAGAGTCAGAGACAGGTGGACCCCTATAAGTTTGAGGCATATGTCTTTCACTCTACAGACAGAAATACTTTCATGAGAACTTTATTAAGATTATATAGTGAATGTTTAAATTATGTTGAAAAATTCATCTTAATAACGTGGAATCTATCATCTCAACTCTGAGCAAGGAATGTCTACATTTCTTTAGACTGTGTTTGACTCATTTTACGTTTGTCTGGTTTCTGAGTTCTTTTTTCTTTTTTTCCTCCTCCTCTTCTTTTTTGAGACAGGTTTTCTCTGGTAGTCCCAGTTGTTGTGGAACTTGCTCTGTAGACCAGGATAGACTAGAACTCAGAGATCAACCTACATCCCTCCTCCCTTAATCCCTCTGTTGGGTTTAAAGATGTGCCCACCACTCCCAGCTTCATTTAGTTCACTTCTGAAGATTCTTGAAAATGATTTAAATTTTAGGAAGTGATTTTTTTTTGTTTTTTTGAAGTAAGGTTTCTTTGTGTAGCCCAGGCTGCCTTGGAACTCTCTCTGTAGACCAGTCTGACTTTGAACTCAGAGATCTGCCTGCCTCTGTCTTCTGAGTGCTAGGATTAAAGTCATGCACCACTACTGCCTGGCAGGAAGTGAGTTTTCTTTTTTCATTTCAGATTTCAATTATTCCTATACAGGAAATATCTTGACTTTTGTCTCTTGTCTATTTACGTCGTTTCTTGTTATTTCCTTCTATTAAGAGGTCCAAAATGGTGGAAAATTACTGTGTGGTATAAGCAGAATGCTGAATTTGACAGTTGACTGGTGATGTTGGAAGTAGTTCATAGGCTTTGTAGATCACTAAGCTTCCTGCGGAGATCTGGGCAGCCATCATAAGATTTTGTAACAGGGCCCCAGACGTTAGTAGGCCCTGAGACCGTAGCGCAACTGACTCCATGATGGAAGTACCATTGAGACCATAGCACAGCTGACTCCATGATGGGGGTGCCATTCAGGCTGTTAAACTCAGCACGTAGACAACACCGCCTGACAAACCTAAAACAAAGGCCTAATTTATCAAAGCCCATAGTTATGGGAAAGTCTCTAAATGTACTAACCTTGGTTTTTGGCTTCTGTAGTTCTGAGTAACTATTCTTGTTAATTGAAGTAATCCAGGACATGGTTTTTGTGCTTAAATCTCACCCTGAGGAAGACTCGGGGTTTCACTGGGATTCTGAACACTCAGGGTAGTCGCCAGCAGGCTTATAAAGACTTTCTATTAATTTAAACCTATAGAAAGCCATCTTCCCTGATGAATATCCCACAATATCATATCGATTTTCTCAGTGTCTCCCACGGAGATAATTGGTCTGTTTTTATAATGAGTACACTGGAGGTTCCTTCTCAGGTTCTATACTGCTTTGAGACACCTGGGGTTCTAATGAGAGAAAGGTGAAGAAACGTCACATCGTTGTTAAAAAGCGGGTACTTATTCAGAAATCCGCTATTCCTGGTAATTACGAGTGTGGATTTAGAGGGAAGTGTCCTTTTCCTCTTGCCATAGTTACTCAGAGGCTCATGGGTAATGTAGTCCCTCACCTACGAGGCCATCCCTCTGGGGCTCAGGTAAGCAGCTAGGTTCTGGCCTTGGTAGGCTCCTCTGTGCCACACTCTCCTGGGAACTTCGGCTTAGAAAGTCGCGGCCTGGCGTTGTGCTGACGCAATCTCTCGGGCTGCGAGTTTGGTGCCGGCTTCCTGGAGAGGGTGCGAAATAGGAAGGGGAGAGTCGTGATCTTCGGAAGCGGGACCCGAACCCCTTTGCTCGCTGGAAGCAGAAATATAGGTGGATCTTGGTGGGACTGAGACGCAGTGCGAGGGCAGGCCGGAGCGGGTCTGGGAGGAGACTGCGGGACCCACCGTGCCCAGTCGGATCAGACGACCAGGACAGTGCTTTCACGGTTGCTGGTCAGAAGACTGCCCTAGGAGGTGTCCGGGTCTGTGACCCCAACAGAGGGCCGTTACAGAAGCTCTGCCAAGAAGGTGAGAGCCCAAGATGGCGACTTGGGGGTGAGGGCGGTGCGTGTCTTTAGATTGCCAGGCTGGGGGTTGGGGGAGCGGGCTGCGGTGTGAGCTGACATTCCAGTCCTTGCTGCCAGTGATGAATCCTGTTACCTGTGTGCTCCCCCCCCCCTTTTTTTTTTTGAGGCGGGGTTGGGGGTGGAAAAAGACCACTAATAGGAGACCAGACTACAGAACCGGGAATTTTCACTAGAATGACCCAGAAATCCCAAACTGTGAGCTTGGGAAAGTGTAAGTTGACACTACAGTGCTGGAGCGAGAAGGGAGCCTGTTAGGAATATTTTTAAATATTAGCTCCCTGACGACGCAAAAATTCCCAATCAAGCCAAATCAAAACAAGCCAAATCAAAAAATATCCAGGTTTAATGGGAGATCTGCGCTCTCGGTAGCCCCGAGGGGGAAACAGGAGGCCACAGGAACGACCCCCGGGAGAAAGAAAGGGAGACCACGTTTTCTTCTTTTTGAGGGATCATTTAAGTACCCTGGGGAAAAAGTGGTCCTGACCCCACCTCCAGGGAGGGGTCAGGACCTGGCCTGCTGGGATTTGAAGTCCAGACCAGGCCTGGGGGCTGGGATAGGTGCGAGGGACTGGGACCTACGCTCTCAACTTAACAGGGCCTGTGACCCACAGTCGGTACGGAAAAAGGGTGTTTGTTATCCTAATGAATGACCCGAAATTCCTGGGGGAAATTCTCACGTAGTGACTGTAGATCTTGTTGCGTATTGGCAATTGTATTCGTTAAATTTCCCGTCTCTTCACGAAGTGCCTTTTTTTGGGCTTGACAATGGCCAGCTTGGCAGTCTAGGTTTGAGTTCTTAGCGATTCTCAATCAATGGGTCAAAGGACCCTTTCACAAGGGTCGCATATTAGACATCCTGCATATCAGATATTTACATTATGATTTATAACAGCATAATTACAGTTATAAAGTAGCAACGACGATAATTTTATGGTTGGAGGTCACCATGACATGAGGAACTGTATTAAAGGGTTGCAGCATTAGGAAGGTTGAGAACCACTGTCTTAGAAGGTTTTGTTTCGTTTTTTTTTGCAAGTCACCAGAGACAAGAAGGTCTCTCAGAAGATTCAAGTATTGAAATAAGAAGATTTTCTTGGGAACAAAGTAGGGGGTTTCAGGTTCTGAAGGAGGGTGTTTCATCAGTAGGAACTCCATCCGGCTAGTGTGGAGGAAAACCTTTAATAAGAGACCAGGAAGTAAGTGCTGGGTCCTGCTAGGGAATTAGCTCTGGGTCCAGGCCTTAGATTGCTGCAGCCTAACTACAGAACAGCAGGACCTTGTGATATAGCCCCTCTGACTAAAACTTACTTCGATTAACAGGGTCTGTCCATATCTTCATGGCATAATTGAAAGTTACCTGTACACCATGACACATTCACGTTTCAGAACAGAACAGTGGCCCATCTGGACTACCGATTCCTTCCTCGTTACCCTAATGCTCAGCCTACTATGTTGGTGGCCTGAAGAGGGAAGGATTGCTGAGCTGTGAATGAATTTGCCCTTTGGACCAGAATAGGAAGTGTGTTTATTGTAATGCAACCGAGCTGCAAGCTGGGCAGTGACTGTAGTACCCTCTGCGTCCTAGGCTGATAAGCTGTGGGTGGGGTCGGAGGCAGGGATATTCTTGTTCAGCCAGAGGGAGATTCTTTGTGTGCCTGTGATACACGATGTGTGAAGAGGAGTCCCCATAAGGCAGTGTACATCTCTAGGGAGTTAAGCAAGAGCTACCGTGGATGCAATTCCAGCTCTGTCATGGGCATGCGAACAGTCTCAGTCCTGTGAAGGTTCTCCGATGGGGACCTGCCCCACAGCAGGCAAGATCTACTATTAATGAACTAGTGCATTTGAGCGGAGGCAGAGTGTAGGTGCAACTCGTAGCTTTGCATGACCTAAGCAACTGCTGATCCCATTGCTTAGAACAATTTCTGGGCAAAGCTACCACCTTCTCAGAAGCTAGCAATATATGGGTGGTAGGGACTTGATCCTCTTCTACCAGCTTAGTTGAAAAAGATTGGCAAGGGCCTGGGAAATATTTGTTGTATCTGGAGTTGTGATCTAGTGTGGATGGGTGCCCTGTCGCACCTGGGCTGTAGTTTACTTTCCCCTTCCTCTTCCCTCAGTGTTTCCATTGTGCGAGCTCTTTCAATTAATCTTGTATGTCTCAGTATATTGTCTGCATGTATGTCTGTTTACCATGCACTTAACAAAAACTAAAGTTTGTGTTTTTTCTAATACTGATTTCTAGTTACCATGTGTACATGTCTTAGATTTGTGTGCTTCTGTTTTTGGTGTTGAAATCTAGTGTCTGAGTATGGTCCGCAAATGCTTTACCACAGAACAAGTTGATCAGTTTTCAAACACTTTCCAAATAACCTTGTCTTAAGTTTCCTACCCTTGTTACCATCAATACATTCTGTATATTATAGAACCTTAAAGGTTAAAAACAGAAGTGTTTTATTTAATGCTAGCATTCTGTTAACAAAAATTCATAAGAATGAAAATAATAGAAATCAGTCTCAGTTTTGTAAATTGCAAAATGAGATCTCATGAAACTTATGCATGTTAACCTATACATGTAAATACTACAAAATGCCACACTCATGGGAAAGTGGCAGCCTTTCTGTTTAAAAGCTTAGATGTTCTCTTTGTAGCCAGACATTACTTGTTTGAATCATGTGACTTCAGTATTCTTTCCTTTTTTGGTTTTTCGAGACAGGGTTTCTCTGTGTAGCTTTGAAGCCTGTCCTGGAACTCACTCTGTAGACCAGGCTGGCCTCAAACTCACCGAGATCCACCTGCCTCTGCCACCCAAGTGCTGGGATTAAAAACGTGTGCCACCTGGCGACTTCACATATTCTTATTGTGATTTTCAAACCTTAGGCATCTGGCTACAGAATACTTTGTATTGTGTTTGCCATGCTTGGAAACTATTTCCTATTATATGTTAAAATAATTGAATTCTAAATCATTAAATGTATAAACCTTTCTTGTATAACACATCAACAAAAATATTGCTTTGAAGAACAATTTAATTTTTTTTTCTCACATTTCTGTAGGTCGATATCTGGACTGGTCTCCGCTGGGAAGTTTCTGTATTTTCCTGCCTTCAGTGACAAATGAGGTTTGATTCATCAGTGCTTTGAGACTGCTTCATTCATGGTGTTCTGTCTCACATTTAGTGGTTCCTGCTGAGTCTTCTCAAAGCTCTGTTTTCATCAAGCTGGCACCAAAGCTCTTTACAGCACACCTGTGCCTAGTAGGTAAGTACTAGGTAGGAAATACTTTTTTTTTTTTTTTTTTTTTTTTTGTG